GAGTTGTTCGCGGTGAAACAGCCGCATTGAAGACGATGCAACTTCAACTAGCCATTTCTTACCTTGAAATAAAAAAAATAAAAATTCGAAGAGCATCGGGGAAAATATTAATAATCGTTCTTATCAATTGCTTGCTTTATTTTATTCGAATCCATGAAATTCACGATTTTTTTTACATTTGTTGGCAACTTCCGCGCTAAAAAAGATTGAAAATGTAGGTGTGGTTCTTTTGCGAGGTCCTGTTGATAATACGGACAAATATTGTTCTATGACCCAGGTCGTGCTCCGATCATGTGACTTTCAGCCAATCAATGATGTTGTAACAAAGCATATTTGACGCTAATTGAAAGGTCGTCGTACCATCCAATTCCCAGCGTCGATTCACATAGTGTTTTTGTGCTGTGACAGGCTTCAAAATTATATAAAGTTCGCTGAAAAACATCGGTATATTTTGACAAAGGGATGGAATTTGACCTCAGTTCAAAAAGAAAATACTAAGCTGAGATACATTAGAGTCCACGGCGAATCAGTTTTCTCTGCAAGTTGGGAAATAAAGTAAACCAGAGTAGGGTCGATGATTTTCAGCCCTGAAGGACTTCCGTGTGAATCCTGAGTTATGAATTGTTCATCGACTGGCCACCAAATATTTATGGCTATAACTAAATTTGACACGTTTTTTTAAGCCCAATAAATTATTCATACGGCATGTGGCCGTTTTTAGTCGAAAATATTTTTTGTGGGAACACTTTTACGGTACGTATACGGACGGGTATAGACCAAACTCATTCAATGATCATGACTTACTTTTGAAAATTGAATGTCAAATTTTACCAGACCGATCAACGTGGATTTGGTATCATTATTTTCACGTAACTGTCTCATTAAAATAATATAAAATATTACATCTAGAACAAGCTCCCAAAACACGTAACAAGAGGTCCCAGTTCAGTTGCTTTCACGATACAAGTATCATACAACTATTAGATTTGAAGTGTCGTTCAGAACTTAATAATAGTTAATACTAGTTTTATATTCACACTTTACTATCAAAACCACCATTCCGACCACTCATGTGCCAGTGATCAGTGTTTGGGCGAGCTGTCGGTGTTTCAATGAGCGAGCGAGCGAAAAAAAAACGCGATTAAAATGTGGTCGGTTTCCGGTCGGACAAGACCGCATGATCGGAAAATAATCGATAAGCGGTCGATGTAAAAGCGGAAGATTGGGCCGCCCAATGAGTACCGGCCGGCGAAATGAGTACTGTATGCCCGGACTGTATGACCATGTTTCTCCGACGAAGTCTCGACTGACAATAATGCTGACAATGGATGTTAGATAAACACGCATTGTTTGCGACGGGAAGCTTACTGTAAAATGACTAATTTTCACTGGGTTTAAATTTCACTGATTTACCATTTCAGGCATATTCAATAGGTTTTAAATTCACGGTTTCGTCATTTAGATAATGTGTTCTATGCTAAATTTTACATATTCACTGTGTTTTAATTTAGCGCATTTTTCCAGTCAGCGAAATAAGCTAAATTAAAACCCAGTGAATAATTACCCCCTTTACAGTATCACCCGTTATATCAGAATCGTCAACATCAGAGTATACAGATAAGATGTTATCATTTAAACCCTTCCAAAGATAAACATTATGCAAATATCCACGAAACGGCAGTCTTTTCTGTTAGCGTTTTAAAACACTAATTTAAGCAACGTTATTTCGCAATTTCGATCTTTTGTAAACCTGGGATGATGTATCAAGGTCTAAAGTAACCGTTTTATCAATTTTTGAAAAATCAAGAAAAAAGTGAAAATTTCCCTTCTCGCTACCTTAAATTGGTCAGCTATTTAAAATGCATTAGAAATTTCATTCACATTCTCACTAAAATGGTCAGATATTTGCATATATTATGTAGAGTGAGCTCACATATATATTTCCACATGTCTTTAGTGTCAATTGGCATTTTCACTTTTAATATTTGACTTAAAATAGCTAGATTTAGCCTTCACAGTTAAGACTCTAATTATTGTAATTGATATGATCACCTGCAGCCTTAGGAGCCTCTAGCTACAATTGACCTTTTCCTGAATTCCTCCAAGCATTCCATCTGAGGGCGCTGCAAATATGTCATTGGTATCAAACTGTTCAGAGTTTACGTACTGTGAGGTCAACAATCAATATGATGGCTACATTGATGTATGTGAATTAACTGAATCACAGCTCCATTGCTTAAACTCATTCAATTGACAAATGTAGCACAGAACTATCTAAATTAAATGTCTATCATAAAATATGGAGCAAATATGACATGCAATATATGTCATGAATTCCCAGCATTGATATTCCAGTAAAAGTTAAAATAAAAAATATTGTTGTTCTTCAATGATGAATTTTTCGAGGATGCTTGAGTCGGCATGTTTTGATTATTTGATTGGTGGAAATGTAGCAAAGTAACAGTCTTTACATTAACCCCTTCACCACCAGACTTTCTCGGCCAAATTCCGCACTTTTTTCTCATATTTTTCAATATTTCTGGAAATTAACCCTAATTTTTGAGCCAAGACACAATTTCAGTCAATTTTTGGTTTGGAATATAAAAAATTTTGATATTTTTGTCCCAATCCTCTGAAGGAAAGTACAGACTATAAACAGCACTATTTTGTGAATTTGTGATGAAAAGAGGGAACTGGTGCTGAAAAGGTTAAGCAAAATAATACTCGTTTACTATCTATTGGTCTCCAAGTAGGTACAAGATTTGATATGCAATGACAAGAAAACAGTTACTATAAAACAGTATTGCCTATTTCTGAGAAAAATACGAAAACAAGAGTACAAGCACTATGATGATGGACTGTGGTGATTTTGAATAACATCCACAACACTCCTATAGTGGAGCATGTTTATCAACCACCCACATGAGTATTGTTGACCAATAGTGCAACACATTGCTTGGATTCATAGCAATAACATTCCATAGAACTAAATTAAAATCATTGTTTGATTTGATATTTATTATAAGTGATATTTAAATATGGCGATACTTGAAAATATAATTTTGTTCTCACACAATGTATGTCAGACAGTGATCACTCATTCCTGTCAAAGAAACTTTGGTGCAACAATTATTTTTTAAATGAGAAATAATATTTACAGTAAAATACTTTATATCCACTTGGAATTTATTTTAATGTATTTTACAGTATATGACAGTGGCAGCAGTTGGGAATTTGAACATAAGTTATGACAGACAATTTGAACTCACAGTTTCTCTTCACAAAAAGTCATCATTTAACCCATTAGATAAATGCACAAACATATAAAACATGAGGCAAATGTCTCATATCTGGTCAGAACACTGGTAATAGTACAATGCTAGACACTTCAAACATACACTCATGATTACAATACATAACTGTTTAGATGACAGTATGATTGGTTGCCTGAATCACACAACAATGCAACATGACACTTAGACTTTGCTAAAACCACAATCCTTAACTATTGATTTTGTAAGCAATAATTTACATCAATACATGAGGAACTATTTAATGCTTGGTTTGCTCATTAATAATTCACTATGTACCATATGACATTGAAGGCATATCATTTGAACAAATGCAGTGAACCATGAAATGAATCTGCAATATTTGCTAAGGTGCTACATATGCCGTGTTTTTTTTTTATAAATTTTTTCTTTCTATTTTCAAATACTTACATCAACAAATATTGATGGTACAGTATACAGTTCAAAAGTAAGAAGGTTAAAATTCTAAAATTCTAAAATAAAGACTGACAATTGCTATACTCCAAAATTCCCCCACTTTTTGTTGTATTTTGACTGTGACAATGTTGTCTGTTCAATATTCATCACGTCTCTAACCCTTCTAATAAAAAATAAATACAAATTTGCAAATAAATACAAATAAAAACAACATATGCCGTGTTATGTAGGTTAGAATCCTATACCCTTGGCATATTGATCAACACTCTTCTTTTAACTTTATAATTTATCCATTGACAGTTAACCACCTCGTTAATACAAATTATACTGACCTACTTTATGAACTGAGATTTATGAAAGTACAAGTGTGACTGTTTACTAATCTTCACATGATTGAAAGCACAGTTTTCAAATTTGCAACAGAGTGACAATTGTGGATTCACTGAAATGCAGCCTATGCAATGTATTATCATATATTTAGCACAGAAAACAATAAAATTTGTCATTCCATAAAAAGCTGTATCAGCACTCATTCCAATGCATATCAACACTCGTATGACTGTTTAAATTTTTCGTTTACATGGGATTAAACTATGTCACAAACACTGACATGTTCAAAGTTATTATCACATTTGAACACTTTCCTTTGTTTACATTGGATGCTGTACTGTTATAGCATGCAATGGAAATAGAATCCTTCTGTTGAAATTAAATTATTATTACATGTATGTAAAAAATGTATAATAATAATAAGGTTATCACGAGTATACTGCAAAGTATGCACTCGGGCAGAACAGGATGCATCAACCTTTACTATGTGTTGGGCGATACGATCACCGTACTGCCTTCGTGCATACATTGCAGTATTCTTGCCATAACCTCATGTTACATAATGGAGTGGTGTGAATTAAGGAGGACTGGATTTGCGGAACTCATTTGCATATTTATAAATAATCGACACTATACAGTTGTACAACTCTCCCTATATACATATAAGTTATCACACAGTATAAAAATAAGGAATAACTATACCTCGTCTTTAGTGTTTATTAATGCCCCAGATGAAATAAGTGTTTTTACAACTTCAACATGTCCTTCTATACTTGCAATAGCTAATGCAGTGCGGCCGAGCTGGAATAAAACATTCATACAATAAATATAATATGTTCATAATTGCATATAACTCTCTGTGATTCTGTTTTATGTCATATTTGTATATATATATTGTCATGTAAACATTAGTTAGTCCCTGTTCGGAAGCAGTCCGAAAACAGGGACTTATGGATCAACCTTTGTGTGTGTCCGTGCGTCCCTGTGTCAGTGCATCCGTGCATGCGTCCGGACCTGTTTCTTAGACATTCCTGGACCAATCACATTCATACTTCACACATACATCATACATAATATTATACATATGCGCATCTGATCCAAGATGGTCCAATGGTGGCCATTTTTGTGCTAAAAAATCACCAAAATCAAGCATTTATGGATTGATTTTGTTCAAACTTGGTACATACATTAATCATTAAGGGTTCCTGATGCACGTCATTTTATTTTTCAGGTCAGATTCAAAACGGCTGACTGGCTGCCATTTTGTTATAACATATTGCTATAAACAAAACTATATATCTTAAATTTGATAACTAACAGAGACTGTGCCATGCATGGCTTGTTTAGCCTAAAGTGATGTGTTTATAATAAATAAATATATATTTCAATCATTAACCCAATCTAGATTTATACATAGTTTGATGAAATGGATTCGTTTATTGTATTTAAAGGTATGCATATTAAGTACTCTGTGTTATGGGATCAAGTTGATGGGTAGGTCATGGAATGTGGTTGTTGTGTGTTATATTTGGCCATGACATGGCTGGGATAGGGGGATTAAAGTAGAGCTTTGGCCCCCTGTTTGTATATTGAAATAGACACCCCCCCCCCAGTAAAATATGATAAATAATGAAACTGATCTATTTCTGCCTGTAATATTTCTCCCCATTAACTAACCTTACCCCAACTCAACTAATAGACCCATGTCAAATGATACCCTGACCTCGAAGAAAGAATTATATGAGCCATAATTTTTGTTATTTTCATGTATCCAGCCTTGAATATAGGGGTAACCTTCACCAGTTTCCAAGAATTAGGAAAAACTCCACTGAAATTCATAGATAGATATCAGATTGTAGTCAAGGATTGACATCTGTAGCAAGCTTCAGCAACCTAGCACTAATACCATTAGCACCAGTGGATTTATTTGGTTTTAAATTATCCAAATGACGCAAGGCAAACTCATTGAAAATCATAGGAATTGTCAAAATTATCATGGTTGCTTGTGACAGTAGTGATAAATCAATCAGCAATAGATGTAAAAAATGAATTAAATTAGTCAGCTATTTGAAGTGCATTAGAAATTTCATTCCCATTCCCACTAAAATGGTCAGATATTTGCATATACATGGATTAAGCTCATGTAAATATTTCCACATATCATTTTTAGTAGAAAGTGGTATTTTTGACTTTTTGTTGAAGAACGCAAGAACAATTAATTGATATTATACATACATGTATAGGTACTTTTCTCATATTTGTTTATTTCATGTTGATATCTTCAATTCTCTAATTGAAATGTGCATTGTAACAGCAGAGCTATCTCAGCAGAGACTGCTCGTCTGAATGAGTGATATCTATATAATCAATAAAAGTGGCCGTGGTAGCAGTAACACGAGTTGGGGCATTAATAAGTTATGACAGACACGTTGAACTAACAATTTCTTCTCACAAAGAGTCATCATTTAACCCATCAGGTAAATGCACAAACATATAAAACATGAGGCAAATGTCTCATATCTGGTCAGAACACTGGTAATAGTACAATGCTAGACACTTCAAACATACACTCATGATTACAATACATAACTGTTTAGATGACAGCATGATTGGTTGCCTGAATCACACAACAATGCAACATGACACTTAGACTTTGCTAAAACCACAATCCTTAACTATTGATTTTGTAAGCAATAATTTACATCAATACATGAGGAATTATTTAATGCTTGGTTTGCTCATTAATAATTCACTATGTACCATGTGACATTGAAGGCATATCATTGAAACAAATGCAGTGAACCATGAAATGAATCTGCAATAACGTAGAGATTTGGTCTCCTGTTTGTGCATTGAAATAGACGCCCCACCCCCAGTAAAATATGAAAAATATTTAACCTTATCTATTTCTTATTTTAAGTGAATTATTTCTCTCCATTCAATAACCTTACCCCAACCCAACTAATAGAGCATTGTCAAACAATACCCTAACCCATCCTCCCTAACCTCAGAGAAAGCAGTGTTATTTAGACTTGGCCTCATGCAGTGCTTCACCACAGACACCATATGTAGAGGCAAAAATACTGCAATAATATGTGTTTGTATGTTTTCTTTTACAAACAATTAGTCTCAATCACAATGACATGGAACCATTTTTTGTTACTCTGAACCAACTACTTTATTACTAACTAACTCAACTAGATGACAACAGATGCTTAGCTTGGGTTGAATGTCATATGATATCATTTGTGTATATAGTGTGTTATTATAAAAGTGAAAATATCTCCTGAAAACTTCTGTGTTGAATTCCATGTGATGTTTTTACACCACTATAATGCAAGATCTTGAAGTTTGTAAAATGGATTATTCAAGGAATCATTAGATATGAAAAGCAACAGATGATGGTCAATTTGTGATTTCAATTACCTACCGGGTAATTCCTTTCCTATCAGCTCATTTTATTAGCATTGTGATGTGGCTGTAATTTATGTCAATGTTTTAACTGTATTTGATCTATTACTTGTTTCAGATGTGTACAGGGATGACATAGAAGTGGAAAATGAAGAACTTTAAAAAAATAGACAAGATAAAATGAGATGAGGCTTTGCAGTTTTAACCTTTGTACCCGGAATGTAGATACCAGTAGTCATGTTATTAATGAGGTATGTATGAGGTGTGAAAAACGAGAAGGGGGATACAAAGTGTGGATGAGAAAACAATAGAGTGGACGCATTAACCCATGAAGCACAAACAAACTTTAGTGTAATACAATTCAGTATGGAATGTGTGACCTGAAAAATACTAGTAGCCAAACAAAAACACAGACTATGAATTAATGTCAGAATTAAAAACAGGCTACGAAAACATGCTATAAAAATAACCAATGTCGGCCGTTTTAAAATTCTGAACCAAAAAATCATTCTACCAGAGTTCGCTAGTTAGTACAACATGTAAAAAACACAAAAAACACTCATATCTCAAGAACCGTACATTGGTTTTTGATGAAACTTGGTGCATAGATGCTCTGGGCCAATGCGCATATTTGGTTAGGTTTTGGTAAAAATCCATGCATATTAATTAGCTAAGTTG